GGGCGCCTGTGGTCCCAGCTACTTGGGAGGCTGAGGCAGGAGACTCACTTAAGCCCAGGAGTTGGAGGTTGCTGTGAGCTGTGATGCCACGGTACTCTACCCAGGGGGATAGCTTGAGGTTCTGTCTCAATAAAAAAAAGAATTCTTCTTAGTAAAGTATCTCAAGAATGGAAAAAAGGTATACAGTGTACTGAATACTACTATGAAATCAATATATAATCACCTACTCATTCATATGAATGGTAAAACATAACTATAGTCCAGAAAGTAGGAGGGAAGAGGAAAGAGATGGAAGAGGAGAGAAGGGGAGAGGGGAGGTCAGGAGGAGGGAGGATATTTGGGGGGAACCTCACCTAATGTGCATAATGCAACGATACATTTCAAAACCATTAAGAAAAGAGTATAATTGTCTTAACACAACAAAAAAGTACGCAAGGTGATGGATGTGTTAATCAGCTCAGTGTAAGCATTTCACACTGTATAACAAATCAGTACACTAAACCCAATAAATGTACTAATGTACACAGTTGATTTAATGAAAAAAATTAAAAATTAAAAAAATATGTCCACAAACAGGAATCAAGGACATCCTTTTTTCTTTTTCTTTTTTTTGAGACAGTGTCTCACTTTCTCGCCCTTAGTAGAGTGCCAGTGCCATGGCATCATAGCACGCAGCAACCTCAAATTCTTGAGATCAAGGGATCCTCTTGCCTCAGCCTCCCGCATAGCTACAGGTACCTGCCACAATGCCCAGCTATTTTTAGAGATGAGGTCTCATCTCACTTTGACTCAGGCTGTTCTCGAACCTGTGAGCTCAGGCAATTCACCTACCTCGGCCTCCCAATTGCTGGGATTATAGGCATGAGCCATCAGGCCTGGCCCCAAGTATATCCTTTTATGCAACCATTAAAAATTACACTTTCACAGAGTATGTTACAATGCAGAGGTTATTACATATGATTTGGTAAAAAAACTAGGCTATATAAAACTATGTAATTATATGATTACAACTATTAAAAATAATTTATATACAAAAACTACCCAATTACCCAATAACTCAGTTTCAAAATACACTACAAAATTGATGATACTTGACTATGAACATTTTTTTTCTTTTTTTTTTTGGAGACAGAGCCTCAAGTTGTCCCCCTGGGTAGAGTGCTATGGCATCAGCTCACAGCAACCTCCAACTCCTGGGCTCAAGTGAGTTTCTTGCCTCAGCCTCCCAAGTAGCTGGGATCACAGGCATCCACCACAAGGCCTGGCTATTTTTTGGTTGCAGCCATCATTGTTGTTTGGTGGGCCCAGACTGGATTCGAACCCACCACTTTAGGTGTATGTGGCTGGCACCTTAGCCACTTGAGCCACTGGTGCTGAGCCTGACTATAGACATTTTATTGTTCTTTCTAACTTTATATATTTTCCAACCTTTCATTTAAAATATATTTTTCTGATTACCAATTATACATGTTCATTTCAGAAAATTTAGAAAATTAAAAATAAGTAAGTACATTACTCATAATCCCATCACCCAGAAATCTGATGAGTATTTTTTCAATGTTTTTATTATACGCTCATGTTTTTTTCTAACAGTGAAATATTACTACAATATTGTAACCTCTCTTAAATACAGCAGAACTTCCATAGTTGACCATCTCCCTACAATGACTACCTCCATAAGCTGACCTAATTTTCACAGACCCAACCTATACCACACGTATGTATCAATACAGTAGGCCTCATTTCTTACACTGACTATCTCTATATGTTGACCATTATGTTTTAGTACCTTGTATGGTCAATTTATAAAGGTTCTACTGCATATTGTGAAATTCTTCTTTACCAATACCCATTTGCCACTTCTAGCTATAGAGTATTCCATTTTAAATATACTGTAACTGGCTCGGCACCTGTGGCTCAAGCAGCTAAGGTACCAGACACATACACTTGAGCTGGCGGGTTCAAATCCAGCCCGGGCCCACCAAATAACAATGATGGCTGCAACTAAAAAACAGCCATGACTCAGCACCTGTAGTTCAAGCGGCTAAGGTGCCAGTCACATACACCAGAGTTGGCGAGTTCAAATCCAGCCTAGGCCTGTCAAACAAAACAACAATGACAACTACAACCAAAAAATAGCCAGGCATTGTGGCAGGGGCCTGTAGTCCCAGCTACTTGTGAGGTTGAGGCAAGAGAATCATTTAAGCCCAGGAGTTGAAGGTTGCTGTGAGCTGTATGCCACAGCACTCTACCCAGGGCAATAGTTTGAGCCTCTGTCTCAAAAAAGAAAAAATAGTCAGGAGTTGTGGCGGGTGCCTGTAGTGCCAACTACTTGTGAGGTGGAGGCAGGAGAATCTCTTGAGCCCGGAAGTTGGAGGTTGCTGTGAGCTGTGATGCCACAGCAGTCTACCCACAGGGACAGCTTGAGGCTCTGTCTCAAAACAAACAAACAAACAAACAAACTATAACTTTCTCAAGTTATCCTCTAATTTAAATATTTATGTTGCTCTAATTGCTATTTTTTTTCTTGAGATAGAATCTCATTTTGTCCCAGATGGTAGAGGGCTGTGGTATCATAGCTCACAGCAATGTCCAAGTCTTAGGCTCAAATGATCCTACAGCTTAAGTTTCCCCAAGTAGCTGGGACTAAGGGCACTTGCCACAACACCTGGCCATTTTTAGAGACAAGGTCTTGCTCTTGCTCAGGCTGGTTTCAAATTCCTGAGCTCAAGCAATCCACTCACCTCGGCCTCCCAGGGTGCTAGGATTACAGGCGTGAACCATTGCACCTGGCCTCTGTTTGCTATTATATATGACAATAACATGGTGTTTAATTGAGTTGACTCTAAAGCTAAACTCCCAAGGTTAAAATCTTAGATCTGCCATTTAACTAGCTTCAGAACTAGCTTATTTATGCACCCTATGCCTCAATAAATGAGATAAAATGTGTAAAGCTCTGAACACACAGCAAATCTTAATATGTTTCTCATGTCACCACTTAGCTCACGGATCACTCTTAAATTACCTTTAGTGAGATGAAACTTAAATAGTTATAAGATCAGCTGCATAATTTTTAAAAAGAAAAAGAAAAAAGTGAAATGCAATACCAAAAAGTGGATAAAATACTACCTACTCATTCATCCAGGCTCCACTAAAGCAACCTCCTTTCTGAACTTTTCCCAGTGTTTACCAACCAAATGTGGTATTTCTATATACAGAAAAATACAGCACTTATAAATCTTGGCAAATTCTATCTTGTATTATATGTATGTATATAAATGATTATTCCTGTTAGAACATAAGCAACTTGGAGACAAAAAATGTGTCTCATTTATAATCACTGAATCTGACTTGCAATTAGCACAATGCCACACACTAATTAGGCATTTGATAGATACTTTGGGAACTGAATGGACTCTGCATTCCCAATAAAGTAACAATAATGTAAAAGGAAAATTAGTGAGTTTAGCATTCTCTAAATTCAGAAAAGAAGCCTATCAAAATGATTTTAAAATGCAGACATAGGCTCGGCGCCTGTGGCTCAAGCGGCTAAGGCATCAGCCACATACACCTAAGGTGGTGGGTTCGAATCCCCAGCCCGGGCCCGCCAAACAACAATGATGGCTGCAACCAAAAAATGGCCAGGCGTTGTGGCGGGCGCCTGTAGTCCCAGCTACTTGGGAGGCTGAGGCAGGAGACTCGCTTGAGCCAAGGAGTTGGAGGTTGCTGTGAGCATGATGCCATGGCACCCTACCCAGGGGGATAGCTTGAGGCTCTGTCTCAAAAAAAAAAAAAAAAAAAATGCAGACATAAAGCTTAATGAAAGCAGCAATTTTCTCAGCAACAATGAAATCTCTGGGTTTAGGCAGATTCCTTTACCTTACAGATATTTTTGCTTTAAAAAAAAGAAATGCAGTGGCTCACCCCTGTAATCCTAGTACACTGAGAGGCTGAGGCCAGTGGACTCTTTCAGCTTGGGAGTTCAAGACCAGCCTGAGCAAGTGAAGACCCCACCACCACCACCTCACTTCTACTAAAAAAAATAAATATAAAAAAACTAGGCTCAGCACCTGTGTTCAAGCGGCTAAGGCGCCAGCCACATACACCTAAAATGGCAGGTTCAAATCAACAGGGCCCACAACAATGACAACTGCAACCAAAAAACAGCTGGGTGTTGTGGCAGGTGCCTATAATCTCAGCTACTTGGGAGGCAGAGGCAGGAGAATCGCTTGAGCCAGGAGTTGGAGGCTGCTGTGAGCTTTGATGCCACAGCACTCTACCCAGAGTGACAGCTTAAGGCTCTGTCTCAAAAAATAAATAAATAAAATTAAAAAACTAGCTGGTGGTGCACACCTGAAGTCCCAGCTACTCAGGAGGCTGAGGCAAGAGGATCATCTGAGCCCAAGAGTTTGAGGTTTCTATGAGCTACAATGATACCACAGTACTCTAGATAGGGTGACAGAGACTCTCTCATAAATAAATAAATAAATACTATGGGAAACTTGAATAAAAACATCAATTCAACATAAGAAAAAAGCTCCCCCATAACACAGATGCAAAAAAAAAAAAAAGGAAAAATCCAGACACTAAGAAAACTTATATGCTCGGTGCCTGTAGCTAAAGTGGCTAAGGCACTAGCTACATATACCAGAGCTGGTGGGTTCTAATCCAGCCCGGGCCTGATAAACAACAATGACAACTACAACCAAAAAATACCCAGGTGTTGTGGCAGGCGCCTGTAGTCCCAGCTACTTGGGAGGCTGAGGCAAGAAAATTGCTTAAGCCCAGGAATTAGACATTGCTGTGAGCTGTGATGTCATAGCACTCACTCTACCCAGGGCGACAGCTTGAGGCTCTGTCTCAAAAAAAAAAAGAAAAGAAAAGAAAACTTATATGAGAGCTGTGTAGTAGGTTATCTGTTCAAGAAAGAGAGAAGGGATAGTGAAGTGGGCTCAGTAAGTACCTAAATCAGGTTGGTTTACAGAGAAAAATTCATAACACACTCTACTCAGATTTACCCTGGTCGCCGCTTAATAGCCCTCTGGACAATGGTTCCTCCACCTTGAATTCCAGGCCCAGGGTTTCCAGAGGCAATGGCTGGACCCAGTGATGGTACATCTGATGTCATTTCTGTTAGAATAAAAAAGAAACACACATTTTCAAAAAGAAGGTCTTTACCTATCATCAATAACATCAAGCTGTCTAAAAGAAAGGCTCGGCTTGGTACCTATATAACTCAAGTAGCTAAGGCACCAGCCACATACACCAGAGCTGGTGGGTTCAAATCCAGCCTGGGCCTGCCAAACGACGACAACTACAACCAAAAAAATAGCCAGGCGTTGTGGTGGGCGCCTGTAGTCCCAGCTACTTGGGAGGCTGAAGCAAGAGAATTGCTTAAGCCCAGGAGTTGGAGGTTGCTGTGAGCTGCAATGCCACAGCACTCTACCCAGGGAGACAGCTTGAGGCTCTGTCTCAAATAAATAAATAAATAAACAAAATAAAATAAAGGCTCAAGCTATGATTCTCAGCAGTCTGCTAATAATCTCAAATGCACATATCCAAACTGCTCTCCTCTTCGATTCAGTTTTCTTTGCCTGACACAGTTTGAAAGAAGTACTGTAGCCTGCAATCTTCACTTTAAAACACTTGTAATGGTAGTTCACTGGTTCACACCTGTAAAGTAATCCTAGCACTCTGAGAGGTGGAGGCAGAGGCAAGTGGAATCCTTGAGCTCAAGACCAGACTTAATCAAGAGCCAGACCCTGTCTCTACCAAAAATATAAAAACTAGTTGGGCATAGTGACACATGCCTGTAGTCCCAGCTACTCAGGAAACTGAGGCAAGAGGATTGCTCAAGCCCAAGAGTGGAAGGTTGCTGTGAGCTATCCAGGGTGACAGAGTGAGATGACGTCTCAAAATAAAAAAGAAAAAATTAAAAACTTATAACATAAAATAAAATGCTTGTAAATTTTCTTTCCAGAATGAGATGGAGGAAAAAAAAAATTTAATGAAATATTTGTAACACAGACATAGTAATTTAAAACATACACAAACTGATTTATATATTTGATTCATGCAATAAATATTTATAATTTAGATTTTTAATTTATTTTAATTGGAAGATTTAGAAAAACCCAAAAGGTAAAATCACTTAAATCCAATACTTAGGCTCGGCGCCTATAGCTCAACCGGCTAAGGCGCCAGCCATGTACACCTAAGGTGGCGGGTTCGAATCCCCAGCCCGGACC